GGGCCCACGGGTTGATGTCGAGAAGGTAGCTAAGTTCGGGGTCGCGGCGTCTCGGTCTATACCGAACAATGGTCTGGTTATACCGATCGGCAAGGCGGAGTAACGTGGTGTCGGTCACCTGAGTATCAATATCCCAGTCCCAGGGCATGACCTAGAATAGAAGGGAGGTCAGCCAACGAACGCCCGGTGACACTAGCACAGCATCGGGAGGCCCGGTATCCCTTACCTTGCCGTTCCACCACCATCCCAGAAGGGTGCCGTGTGCAATCCAGGTCTCCAACCCGTTATCTTCGAAAAAGTTCAGATAGGCACGAATCATGTGCGTCAGGGTCTGCGACCGCTCCTCGTCGGGCACGGGTTCGCTGAAAAAACGGGTATCATAATGACCGAGTATATCGTCACGGCCGGGTTCATGGAAATATTTGAATTCGGCGGACTTGTTCAGTCCGTATTTCTCCCACAGCGGGTCTCGGTCTCTGGGGTTGAGAGTACTATCAGTGTTACGCTCTGCGATCCCTTCGAACGGGTCAGGATAAGCCACGGCCAGCGCAGCCCAAAGCGCACAGACGCAGACCAGAACCCCCCGCGGAATCATCTTGGGTGTTGAATAGGGGTCGTAGGCGTTTCAAGCGGAGTTGTCGGAGAGTTTGTGACAGGCAGAATCATGCCTCGGCTCGCATTCTGGGATCGACAGAAGAGGGGGTAGACTTCAGGAGGGGTCGAGGGCGGGGTGGCGGTATATAGGAGAGAATAAAAATGGCCGGTAAGAAGAGAAAGGGAAAGATAGCGTCAGGCGATTAGGAGGATTGGAAACAGGATGGAGAAATGCGCCAAGGTCTTATGCAGAGTTGGGGTTATGGCTGCATGGGTAGGTGATCGATCGAGTGCGAAGGGTTCTCCGGCGCCGCTACTGAAAAAAAAAAAAATGGAAATGGAAAATGAAATGCAGATCGGGACGAGAAAGAGGATAAAGATACGAACGAGATTGAAAGAGCGATTTATAGAATGAGATCCAAAGACTAGAGGGAAGAATTCGCCATAAAAAGACGGAGGAAAAAAGAGAGAGGAAGGGAAAGGAAGCAGGAAAGGATTGGCACAAGATCAGCTCCCCAAGAAGGAAAAAACGAGGACAGCGTCAGGCCCTTCGAGCGATCCGGGCAATCCGCGGCTCTGTACAAGGCCGGCTGCCTTGGCATCGGAGGTTCGAGAGGGGGGAATTATTATAAGAACAAATTAAGGGAAAAATTGGAATCAAACGAAAAAAGAAACGAAGCTGGGGGGGGGGGGCCGGGAAAGAGCAGGGACTCCACTACGTGTGTTCAGTAGATTTACTAGACTGTTCTTTCGGTCCTGGATTGAGTGCACCGACTACGACGGGATACAGAGTACCGATACTTCCTACTCCGTAGACAAGGGGAGAGGAAAAGGCAGAGTTCGAGTTCCGTGGACATCAAGCATCGCATCGGAATGGACTCGCGTGCCATTTGCCTCGACGGGCTCCACCGTGATGGACAACGAGGGATTCGATGTGATCAGCCCTGCGGTCATTCGCTCTCTGCTGACCAGAGGACATGGCAGCCTTCTCGTCCGCCGGGGACCCGAAGTGAAGATACAATGGAAGGAAGGGGTCGAAGGCTCCGTCACCGCTGCGGAGTTCAGCTGGGTGGCCTCAGGCTCTCCGTCAGTCTCCTGATAGTCATATCCCTACATGCAGATAATCATGAGCATCATCATCATCTTCATCGTGATCATCGTCAATACCTCCAATTCCATCTCCTACCACGGTCCTCAGTCCTAACCTGCAACCACTCCGTACGGATTGGCACGAACTCCCCCTTTTCGACTGGCAGGGTGCCAAGGGGCGTCCGGGTCCACTTGGAACCGTTGGAATTGACAGTTCGAATGCGACCGTCGACAGGGGGCGCCTTCGGTCTCTGATGGTTGCCTGCCAGCTGAGACATCCCTAATTAAGGACATTAATATGCATGGTGTGTTTCCGATGCACGTCGAGTCAGCCACCTGCTCCGTAATCCGCTTACCGTAGGCCTGACTGTCATGATTGCTTGATGATTTCAAATTGTTCCTCCGCCCTGAATCCTGAACGCCCGATGGCTCAGGGTCTGCTGATCGTATCCTCGCTCCACCCCGAATTGTGGAGATTTGTTGTTGCATGAACATATAGTCAAACACTGCCAAGTTTCTTTATCCAATCCTCGATGGTCTAACGGTCATGATTTCCGCTTGTCACTCAGCAGAGAACGAGCGCGGGAGACCTGGGTTCGACTCCCAGTCGGGGAGATGTCTTTTTGCTCCAACATCATGTTGATCCTTTTGCTCGGTGGTCTTATTGAAAATTATTTTGATGATCAAATTACGTGAAACGCTTGGTTGAGTGTGATATCTATTTGGACAAGAGAGTGGCAGTTTCTTTTACAATCCATTTCCGCGATATATATATCGCCAATCTGTGATAGAGCTGTACGCGAACCATCACTGTAGTAAGTAAGAATAAGTGATGGGGGAAAAAAAAGAAATCCTCCCCGACTGGGAGTCGAACCCAGGTCTCCCGCGCTCGTTCTCTGCTGAGTGACAAGCGGAAATCATGACCGTTAGACCATCGAGGATTGGAGATACCAAATCTCTTGAATTTTGACATCATAAACCAAAACACAATGAGGCCCACAAATATCCTTATTCCTAAATGACAGTTCTGGAAGTTAGTATGACCTATCCGACAGGTTGTTGCGACAGAACAAGAGAAAGAAGGTTAAGATCCATGCTGGCCGTGAATACAGCCTGCCTCAAAAAGCTCTTGGGCGCATGTCACTCACCAGGAGACCGTGTATCCTCGGTCCACAAGACTCCAATATTCTGCATGCAGTTAAAGTCCTGGGTTGCATGGCTACATTATGATTAACATTTTTCGGTAGTATTGAATGATCCTAGCTACCTGGCCTCTGTTGCCCATCAAGGGGTGCTTGTATTGTTCGCAAACCGGGACCACTGTGTATGTATACCAAATACGGAAAGAGCAACAAGAAACGTTCCCTCCGGTCTCGATATCTCCAACCCCATGGCAGGTGTGGGAATCCAAAGTTTAGATTTGATATGTTCATTCTTCTGTTCCTCGCCTCTACATTCCCTTGCATCAGTGTCGAATGCCCGGGCTCTCTTCCCATAGACATTCTAGAGTGACATTGCCAGCATCATCACTGCTGAAAGTCATTCGGGTTTTGGAAGTAAGACCACCATCACAATAGCTGCACTTCTTCCATCGACAGATGATATACCGCTTCTCTATTTCACCGCAATCAAAGCAGGCTGATAGAGCGCGGACACCCTCCCCTGCTGTCCCTGTACTCCAAACAGCGCCCATATGATTGGTCTCGGTGTTTTCTGTGGTGAGTTGCGACAGAGCGTGTATCTCCCCCGTGTCATTCTCGAGTTGAGGCACTCACTTCTGTGCCGAATATCAGGGTCAACGCTAACGAAGGCATCGTCACTAGATCACCCATACCCGTTCCTTCGCTCTTCGAGTAGTCATCGGTGCCTCGATTGGGGGGGATAGTAGAGATATTGAGGTCGCTCTCTAGTATCGAAAATTATGTGCCAGAGTTTGGACCCCGCAGCGCCTCCTCGCAGAGCTGGCAACATGCCGTAGCATTAATGAGTTACCGATTAGCCCGCAGGCTGATGCATGGCACTGTTTATATGGTGAAGCGCCATGTGTCTTTCCTGACAACCGATCATCTCTGCGTCGAGCTCGCGCTGTCTTGAAATATGGAAGAAAAGGACACTCATATACTGATGCTGTCACTGTGTTCTAGGAGGCGGCAAGGTTGTATTCTGCGAATAGTAACAATTGAGTGAAGGTTTGGGGGAATTGCACCAACCGTCTCAAAACACAGAATGTGGAGTCGATGGACCAGAGCGCAACTGTGAGAGCCCTTAGGTTGAGATGAAGATAGTAGGAATTAGATCAACGGTTGAAGGAAGGTGGCTGGGCGGAAGTAGTTCGGGTGTCATACTCCGTGGAAGAGGGAACGTGTTACTTAGCTTCCCCACATCTTCAGTCTGGGTCGGGCATATCAGAGGATAAGATAAACGGTTCGTGATTGTGACAGTGTGACTCCAAGAGTAAGAGTATACAAGCTCGCCTGCTTTTCCTGTTACGGTCTAGTTCGACTGGTGACCCACACTTCCGTACAGACTCCGACGGTAGTTGCATCTGGATCGTAGCTTAATACTACCCAGCATCAGGGAGACTCGAGGGGTTGTGATGTTTTTGACGATATGATACAGTCTCTTAGCGGTGTAACCCATCAAAAACTTTCACATAAAGCCTTTGAAGAGATTGTCCTCTAACACATTGACAGGGTCGCGATCTGGCCAGGCCGACCCGTACTAATGATGTGGGGTGACAAGGTAAGTAAAAAAAGTACTAGATCTTGTGGAAAATTAAAATAGACCTCATCTGAACCTAAAGGATTTCACAGCGAATCATGACTCGTACTTGAAAATCGCGGGCTGTATCCGGAGGTCGACTCGGTCCCCCGGTCTATGGTGAACCGCCAACAAGGATGGCCGAGGGCGGCCGAGAATTTCTTCTAGGACAGCCAGAACAACATTTTGACCCGGAACTGGCGGCTAACAGCAGTTTTTTGGGTAAACTTTGTACGCCCATTGGCAGCGGAGCTGCGGGCACAAGGAACCGACATGGCCGCAGAAAACGAGGCGCTGTGGCGGTTGTGCTCGAGAATCGGCGCATCCTGGCCGAGTGTTTGACTTGTTTGCAGAACTTTTAGTACGGGGTCAGCTGACTTGCCCATCTACGGACCAACCGTGTCCAATCAGAAGGCGGGAGGCAGCCCTAGACGAAGCGGCCGGTCATGTGACGCACAATCCACATTCCCGGCCCCAAATGAACATTGAGAATCTTCCCGACCTCACGACAACCGTTCGAGTTCATTCACGACCCCCCCCAAGGAGCCTCTTTCAAGATGACCATTCAGAACCGCGGTGCGTGACTCTTTCCCGACGCCTGCTTTTTTTTTTCGACTTCGGCCGAGCATGCCATGCTGATGGATTTTTTTTCAGGTCTCGCTTCTTCGCGCCGGAAGTCGCGCGCGGCGCACTTCAATGCTCCCTCGAGCCAGCGCCGTGTTATCATGAGCGCTCACCTCTCCAAGGAGCTCCAGGCCAAGTACAATGTACGTTCGAAAGTCACCTGAAAACCGATTCTGGATCCACCCCGGGGAGAACGAAAGAAGATGCAGAATGGAGGAACACACAAAGAAGCGCATGGATTTTAACACGGTTTTTTTTTTCTCGATAGGTCCGCTCCATCCCCATCCGCCGCGACGATGAGGTTACCGTGGTCCGGGGTTCCCAGAAGGGCCGTGAGGGCAAGGTCACCAGCGTCTACCGTCTGAAGTGGGCCATCCACGTTGAGCGTGTTGTTCGCGAGAAGAGCAACGGCCAGAGCGTTCCTCTTCCTCTCTCCGCCTCGAACGTCGTCATCACCAAGCTCAAGCTTGACAAGGACCGTGAGCAGATCCTCGAGCGCATCGGCAAGGGTCGTGAGGCCGTCAAGAGCAAGTCTGCTTAAGGGTTTTTCTTTCTCGGGGTTCAAGTTCATATTACAATAGCGGTGATTGTAACGAGGGGATTTCTAGATGACTCGAAAAAAAATACGAGATCCAACCTACGATCAGGATACATCTACTGAATAGATGGATTGTGATGAAACAAAATAAAAAATTTAATGTCCTCTACCTGAGCTAACCCAGGGCTTCTGTTCCCTCGTAGTATCTACGCCTACGACAGTCTGGTCATTGGATTCAGAGCGTGGCAGCTGGCAAAGATCAGGCAGACCCCTTATACGACAGCCCATGGCATACCCACCAATGTTCAAGGCCCATCACTCGACTTCCACGGATCATTCGTCTTCAGCGACAAATCTGTCATACGGCACGCCTTGCAGTTTGATATCAGAATCGAATACGAGTGCACTGGCCATTTTGGACCGACTACTGGTGCAACATCGCCCTCCACCCAAGCATGCCTAGATATCTCCTTCAGCAACTATGCGACGCTCGAGGTCCAATTCAACCGTCTGCGATGTTCTTGGCTGTTTTTGCATAGGCCGTACTCTTGCTCGAGGACCATTCACAAGTCATTTGCTCGTAGTTTATCGACTTATCCGTAGAACCTTTGTCTACGGACAGAGTTAGAACCACATTCTACCACGTGATATCGCCTTTTGACTTCCTGCCCCCTCCCTCCTTCCGACCAAGACCTATCCATTTAAATCAACCGCTTTGAACGATTTCGAGCAATGAACCAGAGGGGATCAGTGAGGCAAACCAGATCATTATGGAAGTTGGGCAAGTTCCAGAGATCTCATAATCCGTACATCCCATCCTCAAGCATGTGGCTCATATAGTTCCGATGGGATGTCTGCGGGTAGTCTCCTTCATTGATACGTCAACTTGAAGAAGCTAACATTTATCTCCATACTAGAGAGTCGATATTTCGGGTGACGTTGACCTTTCTCAGCAGGTTCTCTTTCGACACGGGGTGCTTTACCACAGCGAGGGGCAACTGCATCGTCCGGGTGACTGTCCATTCGACCGGTAACACACAAGGCTCGTTCGAGCATCAGAATATCTTCTGCATGCAACTTCTGCTGCGTCGACTTGGCTATTAGAAATCCGGCGGCACTCCACATGATGTATGTCTCCTGTGATCTAGGCCGCACTTCGCTGGGGCCTCGGGCTTACAACAGAAGAGAATTCCTACTCTCTACGACTTATCCTTGATTGAGCAGGCAATATATCTCTGTGGGAGTTTCCCATCATCAGCCTGTTTCTGGTTGGATCGAGGACCAAGAACCTGGGTTCATTTTCTGTGGATACCCTTACTAGAGTGAAGGAGAGACTCGAAGGAGAATGATCGAAGACGCCGCCATTTTCTCACATGTCGGTCGGCCATTGACAGATAACCACCTGGCAACAAGGCAAACTAGAACTGGGTCATTACTCTATTTGTAGGGTCATTAACATCCGCTTCTTCCAAATATAGCACCTGTCTGCTCGGAGTTATTATTCTCAGTCAGGAATCGGCTGTTGTCTCCTCTTACGTCCTAACTAACCTCTGAAAATGTTGAACAGGTCCAGTTAACTCTTAAAGCCTGTGGGATAGTAACCGTTTGATCCCTATTACTCACCCTAATATGATCTATTCCGACACAGCGGTCCTTCCCGACATCGCGGTGCATTTCTTCGTTCTGACCATGGAAATCTGTCGTTTTTGGAACGATTGGCTTCGGCCTGGCACCAGGGCTGTTTGCAGGCAATTGGGGCCAACCTTCAACCCGTCAGAGCAAACCAGATCAAAAGTGCCAGTGGCTTCAAGTCGGCCTCGAAATCAGGCCTTTTTAGAACATGCGAGTTTCTTTCCGGAGACCCAACTCCAAGCCGATGACTATTGGTCACAATCACCGTCTGGTCGATATGGGCGGCGGAGATAATAGGGCATATATGTATAGCGGTGAGCTCTGGTGGTACGTCCTTCTTCATATACCAAAATACAGCACCGTGACAGGGCTACGGAGTATAGCATCTGGGGCATGGCGTTATACAGGAGAAACGAGGAAATATAGGTGAGACCCGACAGACCGTACTGGAGAGCCTTTTATGAGACAATGATCCTCTGTGGGGTCTAGTGCGCTTCCCCTCGCCATGTTATATCTTCACGAATGCCCTGTTCACCCATTTCTTGATCCTTCTGCCTTTGTGTCGATTTGTCAACTTTTCGTTAATATTACAGCCACATTGGGATGCTTGCAGTATGCATTTATCTCAGCTACAAGGCCCGCTCTAGCTATACCCCAGTGAGCATCGTCAAGTAGCCTGAGCGACACCACTTTCGACCTTCCTTCGGTCTTATCATCATACCAAATGAATTAGAATCTGGTGATCCTGGGGCATTATTACTGACCATTATCCACTCTGTCACCTGGTTGATGCTCGTTGTCACATCCAGCCGGGTTCTATGCTACTTTCCTATCCTGTGTATAATGTAGCTCCATGGGGTGGCCAGGTACCCCGGGCATTTTACAATGATAGCGTAACATGTATAACCCGATGTGTGTAGGTGCAATCAATCCAGTCCAGGTCCTACATGTTCCACACTGTCAATTTTATGGTGAATATTTGTAACTATCGTGCCTCAACCACCATCTGTTTCTTCCAAATGAAGCAAATGAAGGTCTACCAAAAGGGTTTACTAGATGTCAACGCTGTACGGAGATGGTCTAGGTAAATGTTGTGAGCTGTTTGTTTGCAGATCCAGTATACGTATGTCGATTCTACTTTACACAAAAAAGACACTCATATCGTCTTTTCCGCCCATTCCATCCAGCTCCTTTTGGTCACCCCAAAGTTAAAGACAAGCAGAGTGACTGAGATCAGAAACAGCAAAAAAAGAAACCTCCCCGACTGGGAGTCGAACCCAGGTCTCCCGCGCTCGTTCTCTGCTGAGTGACAAGCGGAAATCATGACCGTTAGACCATCGAGGAATTGAATAAGAATCATGTGCTAATTCTGACAATATTAACCAAAACAGGGAGAGGGGCAGAAAATGTGTGTCGGCTGGAATCTACAGTCCTAATTAATACCCACTAGTGCCAATGAAACTTAGCGACAATGAGGATGGAATATAGATTGTGTTCTTTCCTAGTCGAATCTGGGAAGTGTTTGGTACTCTTTGAGATTATTGTGACGGTCTACAAAGGAGCCTAGTAAAAGACTAGTTTGTTTATGACTCGTAGTCAAGGCATTTTCCCATGGAGAAGAAAGGCTATCTAGGAGCGGGAATCTAAGGCCTCTATGTACTAACTGAGGCTCTGCCTCAGGCAGGAAGGCATTCAGGAAGGTTTCTCCGTACTAGGAAGTTCGTATCGGAAGTCCGTATCAGGAAGTCCTTGGCTCAGGAGATAACAATTATGAAGACTTGGATTCTTGGAATGAACTCCTTTTTGTGGTTGGAGTGAACATTGATGGTGATATTGATACAGCACATATTTCGGAGTAACTCGTCACAATTTTCATATAAAATTCTCGGGATTTTGGCCTATAATTAGGCCTAAATTATTTGAATAAAAAGCTTTTAGACTCTATCTGCTGTCGAGGAGAGAAATTTCTTAATTTTTGTATTAAAAAGTACCAAGAAAGACTTATAAAATTACTGTTGGAATTCGAGATATTGAAAGCAGTATTGAAGATTAAAAATTTATGAAATCAAGTATTATTGTTCTAATAATCATCTAACCACATAGAAAGAAGCCTTATTTATATGCGAAATGCAGTGATCAGAATGGAGGAATCCTCCGGCTCGATTGCAGGAACTCGCCGGCAGGAAGATGGTGTGTTGTTGTTGTTGTTGTTATATTTTACGGCCGTGTGACACTGTCTAAGCACGTGTCCTACCGTCCCCTGTTGGGGC